TGGCGGTGCTGGCGGTGCTGGTGGTGCTGGTGGTGCTGGTGGTGCTGGTGGTACTCATTATATCTGCTGCTAACTCTGTGCTATCGTGTTCGCCTAGAGCTGAGAAGAGTTGACAAGTCCAATGACCTCACGAAGGCCGAAGCCTTCACAAGGGTCCCAGACCTGTAGCGTCTAAGCTTCACTGGGACCTCGGGTACCTTCATTTGAAGGTTCAACCGTTTTCCGATGTGTTTAGGCATGTGGCTGGCTACGCTAGGAGGGTCAGAATTATGAGTACGCTCGCCGCTGCCGAATTCCATCACTTGCACACTGAGCCCACTCTGCAGAAATCATGTTGAATGAATTTACTTTGATCAAAAAAATGCTTAGAGTCTGTACTTGCCAGGATTGACTCCAATTCGCACGGGAGCAGCAGCAGCAGCGGCAACTCTAGCAGTGCAACAGCCGTAGTAGTCCCGTACTGGCAGAACGTGCTGCAGAAGCAGTACTAAGCCCCTGTCCCCTTAAAAACATGAAGAACATTAGCCCCTCCAACCCATCCCACGTAGCAGCAGCAATTATAGTTGCATCTGCAGGAGGATCAGTAGTCTTGTAGTGGTACTAATTGTAGTAGCGGCAGCACGAGCTGGACAAGAAGCACCAAGCCCCTTTGGTATAAGAACACGACCGTCAGCACCCCCTCCGACCCCACCCCAGAAAGCCAAAGTGCACAAAGCCAACGGAATAGAGTAAACACCGAGTGCGAAGCTAGTGAAAATACACAAAGGGCCGGAAACATCGTAAACACCGAGTTGGAAGCCACAAATGCGCAGGAGACCTCGCAAATACCAACAAACTGCCAACTTCAGACCAACCACTGAAAGTCTGAACAGCCCGAGAAGAGAAAACACACAGCAAATACATGGAAATACCGAGTCCAGAACCCATCACGCGCACTCCAACTACACCGCCTAGAACGCGCCAGCACAACACCCCTGCAAGTGTTCCAACAGCGGTCCCATCGATCGCGTGAACGGTGTGTATCGTTACCTAGGCACAGCCGACTCCATGCTCGCTGGACGGCAACACTGCATGACTGCATCTGCACTAGACAACAGGACGCCCCTCAGCCTCGGACGGATGCCTTCTTGGACTTCGGACGGGCTGTGTTGGTTCTCTGCGGGAGAGGCTCCTTAGGCACCGTGGCGAGCAGCTCTTCACAGCATCCTGCATGGTCGCTCTGGGCTCCTCCACGTCGCAGCATCTGCCAAAGTTCTGGGTCAGTTCATTTTTTTAGTGCCTTGCGTGCTTGATCTACGTCGTGTCTCCGAGTGGCAGGCCCCAAATCGAAACCCATGACGAAAGGTAGCTAGCTGATTTCCGCCGCCAGCTTGATTGCAGCTAAAGGATTGGCAACCCGCCCCCCAGAACTGGGTATCGTACAGAGTGTCAGCCCAGAGCTGAAAGAAACCTTGGACCGGACTGATGGCATCTCTAAATTCCTGGCAGGCGGCCCATGGGAACAGCTGGTCTCTTGGAGGCGTCACATGCTCGAGCCTGGGTGAGGCCACTTCACCAGAAAAGAGCCTTCTAATAGGGCCATGCCATTGCAGATGGCATCAGGTGATAGGGAAATCTCCGCAGGCGACTCGGATTATTCCGCACCGGTCGAGCCAACAACCAGCAGTCAGCTTGGGCTTCAGAAATATCTAAGTCTGATCCGAGGCAGCAGTCTTTTGCAGTTAACATCTCGAAAAGAGAAAGCTACGACAAACTGCCAACGACAAAGCACTCGCCAATAACGAGACACCAACTGTCAGTCAATCCGAGCAGCCGGTCTAGCAAGCGACAGATTCGCGCAGTGGCCTCGGTGCAGGAGATGCCAAACCTTCAGCTGATCTGATGATCTAGATGCCTCCCACTCTCACCCGGCTTGACCAAGTCACCGTGCAAACCTGCTGCAAAGTGGAAGCTGTCGCTTCTCCTGAGCTTCGCTATGCAGAGGCAACGATCTCAAACGGCTGAGTTCACGTGCTCCGCAAATGGCGAGATGAGCTGCTTCTGTGGAAAGGTGCCATTTCGGGGCCTGGAAATCACACTAAAGCCCAGCGACATTTAACAACTCAACGAGTGGTGAAAAATGTTCCAGATCCAATGAATGATGAATGCACCGTAAGATGGGTCCAGAAGTGCAAATTAGCAAGTGAGATGAACCACACATGTCCCTGTCAACCCGTCTGTTTCGACACCAGCTTTGGGTAGGTTTGGGGTTCAGGGCATAATCTCAAGCCGGGCGTCTCATCGTTCCCTGGAGGACCTCTAAGATTTGCCCAGAGACCTCGGATGTGTCCCACAGTCGCTTACAGGTGGTCTGTGATCTTCAGCATCTTGAAAACCCCGTGACAGCACGGCACATCCGAGAGTTGGAGCCGGATCCACGGCTTGGAGTCGACAACAACGGAGACGATACCATGCGAGTTGTGCTGGCTCGGCTTGGTTTGTTAAACACAACTCGGGATTCGAGGCTGGAGAAATTGCTTTCCTTGAAGGTAGAGCCACGGCAGAGGCGACTTGATCTGCAAGTTCAGCGCTTCTCCTCTCCACCAGAGTTTGGTCGCTGGCTTCATGGTCCTCGCAATAGCGCGACACTTCTTCCGTCAACGCTTCTAGGATGCTACTGTCAGACAGACCTGCCTTCTTCACCGTTGTCAGTTTCACCAGCAAAACCGTCTCACTCGCTCGAAACGAAGCCCACATGCAACTACTAGGTTTCCCTCCTGCGCACGACATAGAGGAATTTCGGCCTACAGGCTGATTCGACATGACATAACCTTATTCTCTGGAGGGGCTTGTTTGTTGCGGTACATAGCGTTGCCTAACTGCTAATTTTGGTGTGCGCGGCAACACTCTCGCAAGCAAGCCAGCTCTTGGTGCAAAGGATGTCCAGGCAGTCGGAATGGATCATGTCTAGCTGCTGGTCTTGGGATGTGTCCAAACAGCTTCTCGCACTAAATCTTCCAGCCTTCTTCCGTCTTGCGAGAGCTACTCCCTGTGTACTGACGTTTCGCACGAGGCTGTGTTCAACAGGTTGGAGTCAACAGCACAGATTCATGTCGGCACGACGTCAAAATTTTACCGCTGCAGTGACAACTTGCACCTTCCAGTGATAATGCCAAAACCTGTGGTCAAGGCCACGCACTCCCTGCCGTCTTGGTTTTCCAGCCCAAGGGTCCTCAGGAAGCACCCAATTCAGAGCTTTCCTTGAGATGGTGACCTGCCGGGACAAGTCCGAACCCAAGCGAACAGGATGACGAAGCAGTGCCACTTCACATGAAGCCCTCAGCCTCTCAGCTTAGCCCACATCTGCAACGCAAACTTACTCCAGCCTTCTTTTCTGAGCTTTTGTTCGAGTCGGCTCTGGCGGCCATGGCAGTCGGCACAGTTCCGAGACCCCAGAGACAAGAAGAGACCGCACCTGCTCTGAACTCTGCGGGTGGATGACCTGGGCATCCTCTTTTTGGGCATTCTCAGGCCAAGTAGGGCACCAGGGTAAGGTCGTTCAAATCTATGGCTCTCTCGAGAGAGCGCTTCGATGCGCTTGGAGGCTTTTCTTGCCAAAGCGTGGGCCGAAGGGCTGCACGAGTGTAGTTCTGAAAGTTGTGACACTTCTTGAGGACCGGGCAAACTCCCTACAGATAAGCTCTAGAAAACTGTGCCTGTGACATTGTGCTGGACAGCATCTCGCGACCATGGAACTTGGAGTGATATCCTGTGATGCTGTTTGAAAACTGCCTCGAGGTCGATGACCTGTCCGAGTTTCTGCCTGGGCTGCGCCAACTGCTGGGCGGTCTTGTGCAAATTTCCTCTAGGGTTGCTTCCTATGCTTTCTCTGGCTAGAACAAGGTCCGTGCAACTGCAGTCAGACCTCCCCGCAAGATTTGTTGTACTGAGCCGTGGGTGGAGGCCTTTGGGCGGCTGATCCAACGCAAGGAATACGGGCGAGGTCCCGATTGTGACTAAGCTCTCTCGAGCACAAATGATGAACTACGCCTGACTCTGCATGCAGATAAATACCTACCGGCGTACCTGGAAAGTCAGCAGGCTACTCAGCAGGCAAGGGGTCACAATTAGCAGAAGTTGCAGAGACATCATGAAGCAAGGTCGTGAGCGTTCCGCACATGGCGAGCGGACCGCGAACAGTTGATGCATATCGCATCCCGATTAAACAGCACTTACCTTGGGAAAGACGCATAGAACATCATAGAACATACCGGTCGTAACCAACATGCATGTGACCTGCCAAGCTCTGCCAAGACCTCGGTCTTGCCACTGCCAGTAGCCTGAGCTGCTATTGGAGTCTCTCCACAACTTGTTTCATGCGCGCGCACACACACACACAAACGCCAGCCACCCGCTCTGCAACCCCAGCTTCCGATACTTCAAGTTGGCAACTGGTTCGCCTGGGCCCTGGGTAACCCGGGCCAAGGCCTGATGGGGGGCCCTTGACCAGGGCCTGAGTAAACATGAGTTCGGTGGCTCTTCAGCAATTCCAGAAGCTGGGCTGCTCTCCGCGCTCCAGAGTGGGTCACACACAAGTCTTGAGCAATACCATGTTCCACCGTCGCCCAAGAGCAGGCAGCAAGCAAAGTCACACCAGCTCAAGTCTTCGCTACGTTGAAACCAGCCCCCCTATGCTCGACGATCATCTCCCAAGCCTTGAGGTACAGCCCCAAAATCCTGAAGACCTGTATGTTTGCATATCTGGGGCAGCGTGCTCCAGCAATCACACAGACCTGACACGGCAGTGTCGCTCAATTCATCCTATCAGGCAAGAGTCGTGCGTTTGGCCCTCAGGCTGACAAAAACGTGCTCTGACTCCATGAGTATGGCTTCCAATAGCCGGCTTGGTCCAGGCGTCTGCACAACACCCCGAACGCAGATAAAGAGCCAACAGAGACCCTTATTGCCGTCGACACGGGATGACGTGGAAGTGCTAAAGATCTCGAAATCTGGGCGATACAAGGATGTTGATGCAGCAGCTGCCTTCTGGGGCTTCTCACGGAGAACGCGTTCAGCCCAACCGCGAAAAGCCTGCGTGCCCACAGCCATGATGTCACATGCCGGCGCCCATGGTCACATGGCACTCCAGGTGCAAACCACATCCCACCGGGTCACATCTTACCAGTAGGGCTGAGAATGCTGAGGGCTATACACCTGATAAACGACATGTAGAGGGGCAATTTCCAACGGTGATCGTTGGAGATCAACGCAACATCTATTCGAAGTCGATCAAGAGTGGATGGAATCGTTATTGAATCGCCTTCTGGTCGGCGTTCCAATCTCTGTGGTTGCGTTCGGAGGCACACATCTCAGGGTTAGGGCTTGTTTAAACAACGAAATTCTTCCAACCTTGTAGCCACCCTGAAGGACCAGGACGTCGAAGCCATGTCTCGCCAGAAGCCTTTCAAGCTAGTGTTGAAGAGAAACTGTGTAAACTGATAAGATGCAACTGTAAGCGTGAACATGAGTCGTCCACAATCACACACGACATGTCGAATCATTTCATGCAACAGCTTTTCGAAAACCGCCCCTGCTCTTCTCGGGGTGTAGCTTGGCCATTGATTGTGAACGAAGTCCACCTGAGAAGGGCCGGCGAGTTTCTCGTGCAGACGCCAGCCAAGAGCAGATGCACTGCAAGGGGGATCCATCACACAAGCGTCGTTTACAGCTTTCTTCCGCAAGACTGACTAAGGGGGCTTGGCTCGACGCCCTTACCCGAAATCCGAAAAACACTTGCTATTGCTGATTCCGATCGACCCTTGCTCTGCACCTCGCTTACAGTACAGGAGGACGTGCCGCCTCGCCTGACAAAGAGCTGGCTTGAACGGCTCGATTTCCTCTTCAAACTCTGCACAAGCCGTCATCAGAGTCGAAAGGCTGAGAAAGGCCTCTTCGAGGCCGGCGGTGTGCGCATCAGCCTTGATGGACAATGCCGGTTCAGAGCCAGCTCTCGGACATTCTGGGCTTGCGCGTGATTCCCCCAGCACGCTGAAGCAGTCTTCTGAGAAACAGGCCTGACGTAACAAGTCGGCCAGCTTTGGATGCACGCTGTCGAGGGCTAAATCCTGAGGTCGCCGGCATCAAAACCGAATCATGGCCCCGAATCATGGCCCTGTGCAATGTGCACGTGATGTGCTCCACTTCTCCTGCCTGGCTCCTGGCTGAAGCACTTTCGGGCGCAAACAAGACACACCAGCCCGAAAGTTGCTGAGCAGTTGGCAAAGGCTTCCTCTGGCCCTGCATCGCACACAAAAGCGCAGACTGCCGTCTTTCACAGCAAAGCGGCTCGGCCCACCTACATTGGCGAACGTAGTGCCGACTGCAGCCCTGCAAACGCAGTGTCGCAGTCTCAGGGCACATGATGTTTTTCACGCGGTCCGCAGTGGGCAGCCAAGACCCCCATAGCCTCTCGTCATCATCCAGCCTAGGAGAAAGAATCCGTGACCCTGCAGTCAAGAGTTTGAGCACCGACCCCTCCACCCGTGACCGCACGGCATGCAGTGCAGCAAAGAGTCAGGGGCAAGTTCGTGGCACCGGGGATATGCCCCGCGGCAAACTCCTTGGCTGAAGAATCCGTTCTTTTCCTGCTTTTCTTGGACCGGGTCCGGAAGGCCGAACTTGTCAAGAGGGTTTAGGGGCATGAGCGCATTCCGCGTCAAAAGGCCAAGCCCGGCGTCCCCAGGAGATCTCACGTCGAAGACGGCGGGAAGACGGCCGTCGAGGGTCCATTCCTGCTAAACTCGAGGAGTGAGTTTGTTCGGCGAGTCTAGAGTCTACAGGTAAGCTTCAACTATGACAACTATGGATCCCGATCCCAAAGGTACACCAAGCACTTCGTTCCAGTCCTTCTGCCTTCGCAAGAACTCATCCACATCGACGGAACTGGAGTCAGGCCAGCCACGATCGAGAACAAACTCCTGGAGATGGGGGGAATTGCCTTGACGCCTGTGCTTCGTGACACGATGGATCGTTTCAAAGAAGTGTTATTGAATTATTGTGATACTTCGCTTTGTCCTGATCTTGCAAGCAACCTCCGCTATAGCTCCATCTCGTGGCTGGCATAATGCGTCCTTCGTCCGTGGCAGCGACAGAAAATCTTCCTGAAGCTGAAGCAGCTGGCGGAGCACGCCATACCTCGCAAACAGTGCAAGACATATTTTGGGTCCTCCGAGGCTCTTACACCAACAACTCGTCTGTGTATCTCACCAACTGAGGCCGAGGCCCTTTGCCGGCATCCCGGCTCACCTGATGCTTTGTGCCTCCGGCTGGTATGGGGGGAGCACAGCGGCTTGTGCTACATCAGCCGGCAAGCAACCCCAACATGAAACAGCCCCTGCTTCGGTCAGTTGCTGCAGATAGCATCGCATGATGAGACCGGGTGAGGTGGCCAGCTTCATACGCAAACTTAGCGCTGCAGTGTTCAGTTCCCAGTCACTGCAAATGGAGCCGCATCCCACACCCCTTCTGCCTGCATTGCGCGGCGGGTGGACTCTCCCAAGCACCAAGCAGGGCGTCGTGCCCTGACCCAGATGTGACATTAGGATGTCCAAACTGCTTCAGATGCTCCAGGGCACACATCTTGGAACAAAGATCAGGCTTAGGCTTAGGGTTTTCAACTCTCCACACTGCCGGCATTCAAGTCAGGCTAGCGATTCCGTCGACGCACAAGGTGCCTCATGCCAGCATAGCCTTCCCACAGTGACCACTAGGAGCAGCAGCCTGTCCAGGTAAAGTGCCACAGCGCAACTTTTCGATTCAATGCACAAGGGGAGACGAGCAGCTAGGAACCGCAGAGTTCTGGTCAGCCCAAGCTCCCATGTCCTTCCTAGCCTTCCTGCACAAACCAATCTGCATTGACAGGTTCCCAGATGTTCCCTGTATGCTCTTTTCAAAGAGCCTCCATGTGCGAGGCACAGTGCGGCAGTGCATTGCACTTCGGCCGAAGGCAGGCGCTGGAGGCCATCAGATGCTACACTGCAATATCCACTTTTGGATGTCTCAGCCTGTAAGCCGTATCTTGTACCTCCTGAAGGGCAGGGCTTTGCCAACTAGTAAGGATATTGTAAACAGCAGGATGCTCCGAGGTGCATCCTAGATTTATTGTGAGACCACCTTGGTCAGACTACACGGCAGAGAAACTGAGCAGGTCTACCTGCAGAAGAACAAATGCTGCAGCCCTGATGACCTTTGTCCCGAAGACAACATGTGCCGGCCGGACCATTCCGATCCACGTTCACACCTGTGCCAGGAACTTCTGGTCTCAGGATGACACGATGCCATGGCAAGCCTGCTTACTCCACGTCCTTGGACGTACAGCTCTCTAAAAAGAAGACAAATCAAGTCAAAAGAAGACAAGCCCACCTACAGCTATGCACAATGCATACGCACGATATCAGCAGAAAAGCAGCCTGGCAACTCACCAACTCTACTTGCAGAGGCAGGGCTTCGGGCGAAACTACTTTCTGACTGTTCAATGTCCCGATCTGAAGCTAACCAGGAGCTCCCGGCACCTGATTCCTCCTAACCTCCGTAACTTTTCGGAAAGCATGGACAGATTCTGGGAGCTGCTCTTCGCATGCCGTGCGCGGCGCGATCCAGATTTACAACCCGAGCAGGACTCAGTGCCACCGGTGAGACCCGATGAGATTCATCGTTCCTCTGTGGCTTCTACCCTTAGCCAAAGCAAGCGTGGTCCTGCTGACATAGTCGACTGTCTGCGCCTACAAGCACATGGGCACACAATTTGGCTGTGGTCAGCCAACACGTGAGACTTCGAAGGACCTGCCCTTGCAGGACAAACCTTTTCACAGTAAGAGCCCCATGCCGAAGGTGCTTCAGGTTAGGACTCCGTGTCCTTTCGCTTCTTCTTCTTTCCGGCCTTCTTGTCCTTCTTGGCTTTCTCTTTCTTGCTTTTCTTCTTTTTTTTTTCCTTCTTGTCCTTCTTCTTACGGGGAACATCCGTACCCTTGCCTGTTTTCTTCTTTGCCTTCTTCTTTTTGTCCTTCGTCATAACTTGGATTCTCAAGTGCTCGTCGTTCTTCTGGAATTTCCAGTTCTGGTAGATATGGTCAGGGAGCTCCCGTGCCTCACCCCTCAACATATATCTCGTGTCCATGTCGTAGCCGTCTTTCGGACCGCCCCAACCTCCCCCATCCCAGCTGGGCCGCATGTCTGGCTTCCCCACGTAGACCGCGGCTTCAGCTGCTCTCTCCTTCTCCTCCTCTTGCTTTCTCAAAACCGCCTCACGTTCAAGCCTCTGCCTTTCGTGGCTTGGAATCACACTGTCCAGGTGGCCCCACACGCCGTCCTCTTCCCCTGCCTTCTCCTTTTCGCTCCGCTCTTCTTGCTGGCTGTCGTCCTTGCCGTCCGCAACGGCTGCAGTCTGACCATCGTCAGAACTGGCTTCTGCATCCGAGTCCTCGGACGAGGAACTCGATGCGGATGACATCAGCAAACGCTCGGAAGCAAGCTCATGACGTTCCGTCAGGGGCGTGTCGTTGTGATTTCTTCCTGCTTGCATGACGCATAGGCTACGTGATCTGCTCTCGATGTTGCACGTGGCTGTGGGACCCGTTTCGTGCTTCGGTTGTAGCACGCTGTTGGTACTGGTGGGAAAACTGCAGGAAATCCTTCCAGGTATCCAGTGCTATGCTTGCTCAGTTCTTTCCCGCCATAGGCTCAACGGCTGCGACCACCCGAGCTCAAGCTGAAAGCTGTAGGAGGCCGAGGCCTTCGAGCTCTCAACACACACGGGCTCAGCTATTCCCTACATGTGCCCATGCCTGGCGAGCTCTGTCTACATCATGTGAGGGCTTGTGAAGCAGCAGAGGCATAGAGAGAGACTGAAGGGGGCTGGTGCCTTGCTGTGCCTCTTCCGGGCTTAGCTCCTCGACTTCGAGGCGCCAGGGGAAGCCTCGGATCAGCAAATCTGAACCGGGGATCACTGGGAGCCGACATGTGGGAACATCGTCAGGGAATGGAAGACAAGGCGGCACCGGCAACATGATCTTCAAGCCTGCCCTGGCGTCAATCAACTTACCTGCTGGCCAGTGATCCGTCTCAAGCGGAGTGGAGCACCCTGCTCAATTTTACAACTCGTGCAACATGAGTGCACGAAAATGTCGTCTGTGAGACAAAACTGAGTTGTAGCAGGAGTTCACAGTCTGGCCGCTTCTGGCTGGGCAACCTTTCCTGCAACGACTAGCTTTCTGCATGCATGGAAGCCCTGATTTAAACTTCGCCACCCGAATGCTCCGAAGCTTCAAGGCTTTGTCTTGCCAAAAGCCGTCAGCTGCCTGACGGCCATGGAAAGCTGTTACGCGCACATTTACAGTACCCATGCGTTGTGAATGCATGTTCCTGGTCGTCAAGTGTGCAGCCGTGTAAAAATGCAATGTTTGCGCTGCAAAGCACCTCCGGCAAGCCAAGGTCGCGCATCAAGTCAAACTGCAAACGAAAGCACGGCATCATTGCTCGCAGCATTCCGGATGTGCTCTGCAAACACTTCCTCTGATTGCACACAGGCATCCGTGTCATTGTCACAGCACCCACATACAATTACAAAATATCTCTGCCTGCTACGTCCTGACAGCCCAGGACACCTGCAGTACTAAGTGAGACTGAGCGATGCAGAGGCGCGCATCTACCCCTGAGCCGTGGTCAAAGTTCAGTATAAGTTAAAGTTACATTGCCACATCTTCAGCAATCGGAGCAGAAGATCCAGCCGTCTGCGATGCGAATTCAATCCTAACAGAGCCTGTCCTGGTGCAAGTTCGCTACAGGCGCATCCTTTTGGATGAAGACACTATCACAGGCCTTTCCCAGCCAGCATCGTTCAGAAAATGCTGGTCAAGTCTAGACCTGAACGGAAGGGAGCCAAAACAAACGCTCGAGTCAACGTTGCGATGTCCGAGACCAGCCTGAAATCACCACGGCCGGGTGTCTCTGACGGCGCTGGGGGGCGGCCCCCGTGCCGGAGTACCTTGTCACAACGCATGAGCATGGACTCCAGCCTGCAATTTGAAACACGAGGCCACAAGCACCGCACCTAGCGCAGAACCCGACGCCAGCAACAGTTTTATGAGGTCATCTTCCAAGATTTCCAATTCTGAACAATTACAAGCTCGTCCAAGCCCAACCAAACCAAACTCCGGCAGTGAATGGCAGTGAAAAGTGGTTCCCAGGCGCCTGCAGGCCGAGACTCACCCGCGAGCATCCCCGGAGATGCTGCCTGGGCGGGCACCTGGTCGAGGGATGTGCGCCGGATTGAATGATTGCAGCGGACGAGCCGGGAAGCACGAGAAGCTGCGATTTGCATATGCAGAAACACCATCCGCAAGTATACTGAAGGAACTCCGCGGCACCGTAAGGCACATGGATGAAAACAAATGCATTGCGACCCTATATGTGGCCAGACACTGATACCAAGAACTTCTGCATGTCTTGCGTATTGCCATCTAAGCCCACCTCAATGTCATTCTCCTCTCTCTCCGTCCCGACCTTGTTGGTTCCTTCCCCTTCTGGTCATCTAGCGATCGACCTATCCATCTGTCTATCCATTCACATACACGCCCACATCCCGCATACGTTTGGACGGTTGGATAGCGACATCGAATCCACACCCCTCGTATCCCTTCGACCAGTTTTACCGAGATTCGGAAGATTGCCTTCGTGACAACAGGCATGCAGCTCTATGAAACTGATGCCATGCTGACCATCATAACGAAAGAGTACTATGCACAGTAAACCCTATAAACCCTACACCGTGCAGCAGGCAATCGAAAGCATGCTCCCGGCAAGCAGCCTGGGCTCGGCCTCAACAGACGAAGGGCTGCTGCGGTCTCAAGGTTTTGGGTGGCTGAAGGTTGGGGTTCCGCACTCACTTTCGGACTGTCAAAGATGCAAATTCTGGGAGTTCAATGGTTGGTGCGTCTCATGAGGGAATCAGCGCCAGAAAACTATACTAGTCGGGTTTGCGTAGAAAGGCTGAGGGTTTCAGCAATCACAACTCGAACTAGCAGGCGAGGAGTCTGGCACCTCATTCCGGGTTCATCTCGAGCTTACGAGCTTGGGGTTGCGACTCCAGGGGCTTAGGGCTTTTGGGATCCGCATCGAAAGCCGCAACAAGCACTGCAGATTCGGGCAGGGTGCCAGGACAACAACAATAAAGAGCCCGCACACTGTCGTAGCGACCAAGAAAGCCAGGGTTCATTTTCCGGCCGAGTGGCAAACTGGGATATGCCGGGCTGCCTGGTTTTCCCCAAATTTCCGGCCGCAGTGTGGGCACGGGACACGGCCATCGAGGCCCTTGGAGCTAGGAGGACTCGGCCATGCTTCTTCCCGAGCCCCTGAAACCCTAAACGTTAAACCCATGGTGGCCTACTCAAGGCTTCTGGCGGCCGTCTGCTTTTGACTTCCCCGCTTTTTGCAAAGCAACGACTAGGATGAGGCTTCTTGTTCCGCAAACAGCACCATGATGTTAACGATCATCAGTATATATTATTACCACTATAGTGACCAGTGCCGTCATTCCTCGTCC